ATAAAGAAAAACATTCTTTATATCCAACTGATGCAAATGTCAATAAAAAATGGTTGCAAAAGATAAATAATCTGAAAGAAGCAAATTTAGTAATAAAAGAAAATGTATCACAAAAATCCACTCCATAAGTCTGAGTAAATCTTTTAGCAACAAATTGAGCTTTCAATTGATTAATAGAGCTATCAACATTTAACAGTAAACACCCATTTGCACCCAATAACTTGTTTACCAGTGAATAAAAAGTACCAAAGTCCATGTAACATTGTAATTTAGAGTGATTATTTCCTCAACCATAGTTGTATGCCGTCCAGGATGAGCTAATGCATCTTGAATAGTTTTAGAAATATTATCTATTGATATAAGAAAAACACGGGAAGAAGAAGACAAACGATTATAAAAAACAAAGGAAGAAATTGGATATGTACATGTACATTTACATTTTAATAGCTTGATGACTTATATGTACTTAATGAAATCTGAAACCCTTTATTTTTCTTCCTTCCCTTTTATTTATGGGTTATGTTCATAGGGTTGCTTGATTATATTTTGAGTTGAAGTTTACCTATAAAACTAATTTTTTTCAAGTCAGAACCAAATACAATCTTTTGACATAATAACCTGTTAGCTCATGTGAACTAAATCTATTACTATTTGACAAGTGATAACTATGTCCTAATAACGTATAAATATCCATATAATATGTCGTTTGTGACTGCCTCCTAAATTAGGAGTAAACTGCCTACAATCGTATAACCCCACATTTTCCCTCAACAAAACCAATGAATTTAAAATATGCTTTGAATATCACAAGCGGTCGCCATTGGAGCAAGAGAGATTGGTTCCTTTGAAGGGGTTATTGGGATTTAAGTGATAGCCATTGGTGAAAGTTAAACATTAACCCGATGACAGAGTAGAATTCATCCAATGAATATGAGAGAAGAACAACAGTTTCAGAGCTAATACTGGTTGTTCTTGCTGCTTCTTACCGATAGTTTTAGAAACTTGAACATTCTCGCGGACAAGCTGTATGAACTTCAATAGCATAACGTTTGATAATCAACTGGATCTATCCAAAAAAACTGAAAATATTCAAGTTCACCAAGAACAACTGTAGCATCAAAGATGCACAGTTGAGTGCATCCATTTTCTCTTCCACAGAATGCAAAAGAACGATATCTCGAAATCAACAAATGAAGTGTTCAATAGAGAATGTATAAACAAATGAAGTGTCAACAGTATGAAAGAGGAGATAACATCCTAATAATCAAGTAAATATAGTTTCCTCTTGCAAAATTATACGAAACATAAATAAAGTGATTACAAATCAAAACTTAAAAGTCGAAAATAGCTTAACATATAGGAAGTTACCAAACTATTGTGTAGAAATCAATAGAGAATGTATTTCACTTGTTTTGTATTCATCAGCATAGAGGACTATATTACACAATTAATATAGCTCAATTAGGTAACATAATATATTACATTTAATAAAATATAAATTAGCTTAAGAATCCACCTAAAATTTAATTGTAAATATGTAACACTCCCTCTCGGGCCATAGATATTAATTAAGCCCAACTTATTACATAGATATTGATCTGGATTACATTTAGAGCCTTTGTGAAGATATCTCGTAGTTGTTTTCCGGTCTTCATATATCCAGTAGTAATCGAACCTTTTTGTATCATTTCATGAATGAAGTGACAATTAATCTCAATATGTTTCGTTCATTCATGAAAGACATGGTTGGACACAATATGAAACGCAACTTGATTATCACACCAAAGTTTTGCAGGTACTAAAAATTTAATTCCTACTTCATTGAGAAGCTGACATACCAATATGATTTCACATATTGACTTGGCAATTGCTTTGTATTTGGCTTATGCACTATATCATGAAACCACATTTTATTTCATACTCTTTCATGAAAAGAAGTTTCCTCCAACAAACACACAATATTCCAAGGTAGATCTTCTATTTTCCTTGCACTGCCCAATCCGAGTTTGAAAAACATTCGATCATAGTATGATCATGATTGCTAAATAAAATTTCACATCCAGGAGCACTTTTCAAATAATGCAGAACTTGTTCTACTGCTTTCCAATGATCGACAGTTGGTGATGACATATATTGGCTTAAAACACGCACCAGATAACCAATATCAGGACGTGTTATAATAAGATAATTCAATTTTCCAATCACTACTTTGTGTCTTTCAGGATCATAAAATAATTCATCTTCTTTGGTTAATTGTAGATTAGGGACCATTGGGGTACTACAAAGTTTAACACCTAATTTTCCCGACTCTGATAATATATCAAACACATATTTTCTTTGGGATATGAAGATTCCTCTTTTACTTATGTTCACCTCAACTCCTAAGAAATATTTTAACATCCTCATATCTTTGGTGTGAAATTGAATGTGAAAAAAGGACTTCAGAGGTGAAATTTTACTAGAATCACTTTCAGTGATAACAATATCGTCCACATATACAACTAATAGGGTAATGTCTTCATCGAACTTTCTAAAATAGCATAATGGTTTAACTCATTTTTCTGCATCCTGAACTTCTCAATAGCTTGACAAATTTTTTCAAACCAAGCCTGATGGCTTTGTTTCAAGCTATATAGAAATTTCTTTAGAAGGCGTACTTTGCTATTTCACCGTGAGCAACAAAACTAGATGGTTGTTCCATATACACCTCATCCTGAAGATCACTATGAAGAAAGACATTCTTTATATCCAATTGATGCAAATGTCAATAAAAAATGACTGCAAAAGATAAAGAATCTACATAAACAAGTTTTGAAATAGGATAAAATATATCATAATAATCCACTCCATAGGTTTGAGCAAATCCTTTGGCAACAAGTCGAGCTTTCAATCGAATAAAAGAGTCATCGTCATTAAATTTAACAATAAACACCCATTTGCACCCAATAGCTTCTTTACTAATGGGTAAAAGTATCAAAGTCCATATAACATTGTCATTTAAATTAGTCATTTGCTCAACCATAGTTGTATGTCATCCAACTAATGTATCTCGAATAGTTTTAGGGATATAAATAGTATATAGGGATCTAAGAAAAGCACGTGAAGAAGAAGATAAATGATTGTAGGAAACAAATAGAAGAAATTGGGTATGTACATTTACTTGTACGTTTTTTAAGGATAATCGGAAAAGCAAGTTCATTTGTCGTAATCGAGTATGATGAAAAAATATTGGCTTATTAAGACATGATTCTAAAACTTCTGTAACTAGATTGGAGCTAAGCAATTGTCAGCGACGTGCGTAAATATTTTTAATGGGAGGCTTGACAAATAAAGGTTGAACCAATGTGGAAGACAACGAATCCAAATTTGACGAGACGTAATAAAATAAAAAATCATCACCCTCTTGATGCACAGAACCTGTAGAAAAAGAAAATGCGTTTGTTCTAAAAAGTAAATGTGTTTGTTCTAAAAAGTAACACCGAAAAACACAAGATATCTACCCAGACTTGGATAATAACAACGATATCTTTTTTGTGCATGAGAATATCCAAAAAAAAACACATTTCAAAGGCCTGAGATCAAGCTTTGTAACTTGATGACAAACATCCTGAACAAAACAAGTACAAAAAAATTGTGAAATAGAAAACATTTTTGTTTGGAAACGAAATATGGAAATGTGTTTTACCCGGCAAAATATAAAAGGCATACAATTGATTAGAAAGCAAGTGGTAAACACGACATAAACCCAAAAACATTTTGAAACATGCATTTGAAATAACAAGGCGCGAGTAGTTTCAAGAAGATGTTTATTTTTTTTCAACAACACCGTTTTGAGAAAGGATCTCAACACGAGGTTTGATGGAACATGCCTATATCAATCTTGTATTTTTTTTTAAAAAGGATCGGACGGGTACTCTTTTGCATTTTTCACTTCGTAAATTTTGTACATGTGTAGTTTGAATTTCAACACAAAAAGACGAAAAATGAGTAAAAAAATTCAAAACGAGATTTTACCAAATAAAGTCACATTATTCTAGAATAATCATTAATAAAGGAAACAAAATATTGAAAACAGGTTTAGATATAAATGGACTAGGACCCCAAACATCATAATGGTCTAACTCAAACGAAGAAGAGGCACGATTACTGATTCTATGGCTTGAAGATGATGCTTAGTAAACTGACAAGACTTGCAATATAAAAATGTTAAGTTTAAAAATTGAGGATGAAATTTCTTTAAAGAATGGAGTGAGGGATGATCTAATCGATAATGTTCTCCATGAAAGAAAGAAAGAAAAAGTGATAATTCTAGTGCAAGCAACAGTTTCTGGTTCTTGGGTATCAAAGATACAAAGACCATTAGACTCATGTCATTTACTAATAATCTTCTTTGTCAAGAGATCCTAAAACAAACAATAACAAGAAAAAGATAAGACACAACAATTAATGGTACGTGTAAGTTTACTAACCGACACTAAATTAAAAGATAATTATGGTAAGCTCAAAACACATGACAAAATAAGAGATGGGATAGGATTTGCAGCGTCAGAGCCAATAAAATTGGATGATTAATGGATAAGATTTAAAATGAGAAAAAAGATTGGGAGAATCAGTCATGTGATCTATAGCATCATAATCAATAACCCATTTTGATGATGTGAAAACAAGACCTGTATTGGGTTTATCTGACTAAAAAAGGGTAGAGATCACTCGAGTATTTTAAAACATATGTTATCATGTAGAAATCCGTAGAGAATGTATTTCACTTGTTTTTCGTTTCATCAATAGAGAGGGTTATATGTAGATATATACAACTAATAAACCTAAATTAGGTAACGTAATTTATATATATATATATATATATTACATTAATACAATATAAATTAACCTATAAATATAAATTAGCCTAGGAATTAGGTTAGGAATCTACCTAAGAATCATTAGCAAATCTGTAACATGTTGAATGCAGAACTCTGGTTGCATGTTTTATAGAATCAAAATTTATATAAAAATAAAATACCTTGCATATGTTTGTAACATGATAAAATACATGAGCATGATACAAGTACACAAATTGCCCATGTCTACTTCAGGGAAAGGGATAAGAAGTTCATGGAGTTCAACTCAGCAAAAAGAAAAAGTACAGTAAGTTTCGACATCTGCGCTGCACGATCGATGAGGGCATGATTAAGGATCAAGAAGCAAGAAACTAACCTACAACTAGAATTTCTGCTTAGCTGAACAGGCTACTTCCCTGATGCTACCCTCTCAATGCGAGTGAAAACAATGGCATATTTAGATGCAACATCAGGACAGTAGCTTTAATTTCGCAGGTGTGCACCAGCAAGTCCAGCATCTTTCACTAGCTGCTCAGTCAAAGCTGAAAGCCTGGCCACTCCTGTTTTAACTTCAGTCAAACATTCGTCGTTCTTGATCATGCTGATCATAGGATCGGAACCACATTGAAAGAAGATACTGGCATCAGAATCGGCCTCAACACTTGTGCTAGCTTTAACCAAAAGTTCATGGCTCACTTCAGCCAGTTTTTTAAGAGCGCTTGTGGCAGCTTCAACTTCCAGTTGAGCTGCCTCGAGTTGCAGCTTCTCAATGGCCAAATCACCAATACTTTTCTCCCCAATTCTCTCTTGTGCCAAAGCATAAAGCTTCTTCATATCATTGGCATCTTCAATCATTTCTTCCCTCAGCCCTTTTAGTTCTTTTTCTCTGGCTTCCAACCTCCCAAGAACTGTTTTGAGCTCCTCATCTTTTATTGTGAGAGCCCTCTGTGCAGCAAGAACTTCCATTTCTTTTTCTTTTAAGGTCTCTTTAGTGAATTTGAGTTCAGTTTCAAGCTGTTTTTTCTGCAATCTGGAATCATTAGAAGGTCTATCTACCAGCTGATGCATTAACTCATGGTCAATATCATCAACAGGCCTCAACGCATTATTATCTTCATCCTTATCAGAGGTGACTAGTCTGCTTGTGAGTTCTGCAATTCGTTCTATCACAGTTTCAGCTTGAGAGAACTTCATCTTAGTATCATTCAACTCATCTTGCACTCTCAGAACATATTCGTCTTTCTCCTTCAATATAGCAGTCGCTTGAATGAGCTGATTTTCTTTACAGCTCATAAGCATCTTCAGCTCTCCAATCTCCTGATTTAGTTGTTCTAACTTCTTTTTGGAATAGGAGAGTTCCTGGTCCTTCTCCTCCAAGATAAGCTGAAGAGAAGCTTGCTCAGATTTCAGGTGCTGGATTTCAAGTTTAGCCCCCGCCAACTCTGTTTCTTTATTTTGCAAAACATTGCTCATTTCACCAAACTCAGCATTCTTCTGCTCTAACTGCTGTCGAAGAAAAGAGGCATCCTGGACAGCCTGCTGAAGTGAAGATTTCTCTTTCTTGAGTTCCTCCTGTAACTCTTCTATTAGTTCCCTTTCCACATATAAATCCCGTTCAAGATCCTTATTCCGAGCCTCTACAACCCTAAGCTTCACTCTTTCACTCTCTACTTCTATCTGGGCATTTTTCAAACTTTCCATGTATGATGCAACACTTCTCCTCTGTTCTTCAAGCTCTTCAAGTTGCCTTTTCAGTAACTGTTCTTGTTGTTCCATTTGCTGTCTCGAAGATGCCAGAGATTTCTGAGAAGAAACCAACTCGGACCTAACATCAGAAAGTAGTTGCTTCACTCTGGTGAAATCTTTAAAGGTTCCATTAGCTTCTCCCATGTGCTTAGATGCTTCTTGTGCGAGTTTCTTCAGTTCTTCTTGGGCTAATAACCATTCCATGGTCTGCTGTTGCAATCTAGCCTCAGCAATTTTTAGCTTCTCTTCTTCAAGTTTCCTAAGACTCACGGAAGTTTCTAACTGCTCTTCTTTCTCCCGAATTGCTTCTCGGAGTTCTCGAAGCTCGATTTCTTGTTTCTTCACAACTTCGTTGGCTTCATTCAGGAGCTGAGACTTTGATGCAAGTTCAGAACGGATCTTCTCAGCTTCCTCACTCTTCTTTGCCAGTTCATGCCTCATTTTATCAATTTCATCTTCTTTTGCAGACAGTGCAGATTGTGCAACACCGACCTCCTGATCTCGTTCTTTGAGTTGAAGCTTCAAATCTTCTATCTGGCTGGCTCGTGAAGCAAATGCAAGATTTGCCTGCTTCAGCTGCTCTTCCAGATTTTCATGCTTAGAAGATGCAGCAGCGATTTCTTTCTCCCGTTGCTCCAACTCATCCTTTGCACGGGTTAACTCGCTTTGCTCCAACACAACCATTTTCTCGGCATCCTGCAGATCATCTTCCTTCTGCTTCAACGCCGTCAAAGCAGCAAGCAGATCAGACTCCAGAGTCTGAAGGTCGAGACCAACATGAAAATCCCCGAGCGGTTCACCATCTCTGCTCATGCCTTGTTCGAGTTTCTGGGTCTGTGCAAACAACCTCTCGAGAAGAACTTTTGCAGTTTCAGATGCCCCGCTGTCATTGATGCTAGACTTGTTATTTAACACAGATTTGACAATAAGAAAGGAATGACCTTTCCCTGTTGATACTGCCACAAAAGGTAGCGTTTTCGGTTTCCAACGGCGCCTTAGTGAAGATAACTGCACAAAAACATTATTAAACTATAAATAACTATCCATTCACTAGGAAAACAGTAATTAGGGATAACTTTAAAAAAAAAAATACGAGTCTGAATCCCAATATTTTACACAATATATACAAGCATAAATCATATAACAAAATATTGGATATATATTAGTATAAAATAAAATGATATATTTAAATATACAATACTACCGCATTGAAGTGGTTAGGAATTTGTAAGCAGAAAGATAAGCAATACAAGATCAAAAATAAAATAGATAACATACAAGAGACGAGATTTAACGTGGTTTGGCCTAGTCTATCTCAACGGATGAGGAACAAATAATCTCATATAAACGAAGAGATAATGAAGACTACAAATGCATAAAATTCCCTATATCTCACAAACTCGGTGTATATCTACCACAAAGCCTGATGCATGGCAACCCACTCTTCCAATGTCACTACAGGATTATCTCAAATAACATAGGCTCTAATAGTTGCAAGGATCAAAACAAGGATTAACAAGAATCCTTACTACTAAATAAACTTAATCAAAAAATAATCTTCAACCACTAGAATTATAATAAAACCTAATAAGAATGTTAAGTATATTAGGATCGGTATCCCTGCAAATATTAAATCTGATATCCGAATCTGCAAAATTATCAATGCCCCAATATCAAAATCTGCCAAACCAATGATACATCCATTATTTTTCTTTTACTATCCATTAAACATAGATCTAGAACGGCTTTGTTTTCATGAAATCCAGAAAATGATTGCCATGGTTCCCTTCTGCTAAATTTATCCACTTCACTGTATACTTTCTAAAGAATTTTCATTCTCTCTTGCACAAAAGAAGCATGAATTAAAGTCGGAAAAAATTTAAAACAGTGGATTCAAGAACCCCAGCTACAAAATAAACGTACCATCCAGCATGTAGATTCCAGAAGACTAAAAGGCGATAAGTAAAACAAACAAAATAATAGGAAAAATCCAAGAAATAAGGGAAAGAATACCTCACGGGAACGAAGAGGAAAGTTAGCTGGAAGATGAGGGCGAAGCGCAGCAGCGAAGCCCATGTTTTTAGGTATTCAGCAAAGCGCACATCCCCTAATCTCTTCTAATTTACTCCAACAAAAACCATCCCTTTAATCTCTTTTATTAAGTAAATAGCCGACCTTCGATTTTGAAGAAATATACCAAGTTTCAAGCTCAAATGAAACGTTGCTTGAAGATGAGGCAAGGGTTTCAATAAAGAGAAGAAGAAGAAGAGCTTACTTGAGCAGAGGCAGAATCCAGATTTCTATGCCACTCGCTGCCTACAAAAATAAACAAAATGAAAATGAAATTTGAGATGGCCTACGTGCAAGGTGGGGGGGTGAGGGGTGAGTAATCGCATGCGTCTGATACTAACGGGTGAAATTTGGAAATACTTGAAAGATGTCTGCGAAGGTGACACGTGTAACGTTTTGGACCAGGGGAAGCACCACATTGTGTAGCTCTAGACAACAACACATGTAATTATCTGAATGGATTCAAAAACAAATTAAGACAATAATAATAAAATGTCGTCAATATTTATCCAATTTTCAATTCTGTTTTTAATTTTTTATAATTTAAATACTTTTAAATAATTTATTTTTTAATGTTCAAAGAGAACTATTAGGATGTAGTTGAAAATATAAGCAAATTGATTTATAATTTTATTTTTTTTAAATAAAAATCATTATTTAATGATAAGAGATAAAATTAACAAATCTATATACAAATCATTTATTATTATTGTGATAATTCATTGAATAATTTTTTTTAAATATATTTCTATATAAACTATTTTTCATTAATATCAAAATTTAATATTTATTGATTTTAAACTCGTGTGTGTCATCTTACATATTAATTAATGTTAAGATCATTCATTAATATATTATTTTGTGACAGCTGCTTTTTAAAATGTTTTTTTGGTTGGGTTGTGGGTGAAAGCAAGAGAGAGAGAGAGACAAGAAAACGAAGAATACAGGAAATTAGAGGATAAATTAAAATAATTACGTTTTTGTTTTATTATAAAAAAAATGTATAAAGTATTATCAATTTAAATAAAATTATCTTCATAGTAATTAGGTCTAGTGGAATTGTTTTTAAATTTAATATATATAATTATTAATTTTATACAAACTTCACATACTCCTACACACACATATGTATGTATGTATGTATATATATATATACCATTTTATTAATCTTATGAATCGAATCTTGAACTGAAGTAAGCACAAGGGATGTGACAAATTCTTGACCATAGACTGCAAATGGCAATGCTTTCCTTTTTCTAAGATGAGTGACCTCATACTTTGTTGTATGGAACGAGGCTTTTTCATTTTTATGTGAACCACATTGTTCCATTTATTTGTTAGGGGGAGAAAAAGAGGTGTCCACTCTCCTACAACCCACCAAGATTTTTTAAGAAAATGTGTGGAAGGAAGAGAATGAAAGGGACAAAGAGGGCACAAGAACAAGAAAAAGAATTAAAAAATGGATATAGATTCAAATATACATCTTCATTGTATACTTCATTTAAAAAAAAAAAAAAGAGTTACTACATGTGAATTTTTAGTTAGTTTATATATTCAAAAGCTAATTTAATTAATTTAGAATTAAAGTGAATAATAAACAGGTTTAGTTTTATTTTAAAACTAAGAGTTTTATGGCAGACATCTCCCATGGTTAGAGGAACACATATCATACACCGATGCTTTTGCTTTCATATTTCTATTTATTCAAGTAGATAAAAAGAAACAGAATACATGGGTTTCATAAAAGGGCATCTTCTCAGCATCACAGATACATATGTAAACCGCAAAACTCACAACTACATATTGTTAAGATCATGCATTAAAAGCAGCATGGATTGCGTACCGGGAACTGTAATGGAGATCATACTCTATTCCGATAACCCCATTTCATCTCTTTAAGATCTGTTTAACTCCTCATTATTCTTCGACATGATATCATATTCGAATTCGCATCTATTCCGTAGTTGAGAATTTACTTGCTTTCTTAATTTCGCATTGTCGGTGAAAATGTCTGCTATGATCTTCCTTAACTCATCATCTATTCTGCAATCATAGTGGCTGTCGTGTTTGTGTACATTATTGACATCCTCGATGATGGTGGCATCTTCCTTTGCTAACAGTTGCACCTAAGTCATATTGTGCAGGGAAAAAATTAGTAACGGCAAAGGGTCAGGGAAGATGAGATAATGAAAGAGTGGAAAATTATATTAAAAGTTACCAGAAACCTGGGTGGGGAAGAGATAACGAGAGAGAGAAAATTTGGAATCCATTTATGGTTTACACTTACGAAGTGAGAAGGCTTTGATTTCTATCTAAAGATTTCCAATATAAATGAATATTGAATATTTAAGGATCGACTCAAACGATGCAAGTTTTCCCAATGTTGAAAATAGCCAAAAAACAAGGTACCTCTGCAAGTAGGAGAGTGATTTTATCATCAGATGTGGTCAACAAATCCAATGCTTCTTCGATTAAGGAAGAATCTTTGATCAAATTTTCATCATCATCTGTGGACAAACTGACATTGCACTCAAGAAGGCTATTGTGAAGAAGCCGACATTGATTTAGCAGGTTTTCCCTAGCAGTCTTTACATGTTTGCTGGTTTGTCTTTCGTGTTCTAGTTGTACCTGCAAACTCCAATGACTAAATCTGTTAACAATTATTTGCTTTGACCACACCTACGTCCCTGTGTGCGCAGTGGCAAGGAGGGGGAGATTGTTGAATGTATAGAGAAGAAAACAAATGCTTTGGCACACAAAATTACCTCAACATCAGATATTTTCAATAGTGATTGACCAACCTCCTGCTTCAGTTGTTTTTCGGATTTCCTAAGAGACTTCACCTCTTTAACAAGAAGTTTAATATCTGCTTTTGATTTAGTCTCTAGCTCTTCATATTGCTTTGAGATAATGTTCAGCTGCTCCTTAGTAGCATTTAACTCTTGCAACATTGCATCTTTCTCCTCAGTGGCAAAACGGTCACTTGTCTCCGTTATTTGCATCTCATCCTGTCTCACGTCATTTTTATTAGTGAATCCTAAAACATCTGCAAGTATATTTTACTTTCAGGGGCAGAAATTGCCTCAAACATGAATGCTAGGCACTCTGAACAGATTTGCAATGCTTGTCCAAGGGGAAGCAATGGAAGTTAACTTTCCTAAAGCATTTCTAAGGCAACTGTTGAAATCAAGTTCTATAACATTCCTACCCGAAGATTAGTTTGGCTTTATCCTGTGGTATGAGGGAGAGGCAGAGGGTTGGAGATAGACTTTTAATGGAAGTAAGAGTTTAAAGACATACAATCACCAATTTTAAGCAATTCCACTACATGCATGGCTTTATCAGGCCAAGTTCATCATTTACCTTAATTGACCAATATCCAGTGGTGGAACTTCACCTTGGCCCCCGCCAATTATTTTTTTAAGAATTAATTAATATTAAATATATACTTATTTTTTAAAAAAATAAATAAAGAAAAATATTTTAACCCTGCTATAATAAATTCCTAGTTCTGCCCCTGCCAATATCTGCACAAAGCATCAATATCATGCATGTGCACTTGTGTGGCAATTATAAAGAAGAATATATTTTAAGGTTAAAAGGGGGTTAAATGCTTTACCTGTTTAGGATTCGACTTCAACTCCATTTCCAATGATTTACGCCGAAGTTCTTCCATTTCCCACTGCATTTGAGTAAACCTTTCTCTTTCAATCAGGATAGCTTGCTGCAGGTTTTCTCTACTTTTCTGTTTGGTGCTTTCAAGTTCCACTTCCAAATCGTTAACCTGAAAACCTCCAATATGTTAATTCTACGTCAAAATCGCTAATACTTCACTAAGAATAAATCTCATTCAACCTCTCTGCAATATAAAGCAATCTAAGATAATAAAAAAAAAACATTTGAAAACAGAACGAAATGCTACGAAGGATTCTGGTCAAAATTTGTTGGAATGGAAACAGATCTGCACTTGATCCAAAAGAGAAATAGAAAATGCAGAACTGAAATATACATTAAAAAAAGGCTAACCATAAAAAAAATTCCTCTCTTGCACATTTTTCATCTGTATGTAGATTGAAAGAAACCGGAAACCAATATAGTGCAATATAAAAAATCAGCTTTAAAAATATTAAATGTCTCTGCAAATAGTCCCAAATACTGAAAATATCTCAAATGTATTCAGGCTAAAGTAATTATATTATGATAACTTTCAAATTTGCTCAGAAACCATATTGAACTGCTTCTACAAACCTTTGTTGTAAGATAACCCTTCACTGCTATTTCTTGATTTAGTCTTGCTATCAGATCCTCCATGTCAGTTTTTGCAGTGCCTAGTCTCTGCTGCATTGTCAAAAGAACCCTGTTCAACTTCTGACGCTGATCCAATGGAAGAAATATTTGTGTACCACCAGAAAACAGCGAATCCAGGTTTCCATGAGTAACCATGGTGCTTGAAACTTTGGAAGTTCCAGGAAGGTCGACAGATGAATTTGGAATTCTAGAGTTTCCCATATCACTACCTCGCAAAGAAATTATATCACTCCCAACACTTTCAGTTGATAGCTTTTGAGCATGACCAACCATCTTAGCTGGCTCTGGATCCGAAAAGAGTTCCAGTCCATTACCGCCAAGAAATGAAGCTCTAGAGCCATTTCCATTATAAGTTTCTATCTCCGTAGTATTATTGATGTTTCTGCTGTGTGTTGTATGCCTAGGAAAATCTTCTAGCTGCTCCAAAATTGTTTGTCCCATAACTAGTCCCTCATCAATGTTGGACATACCCTTCACAAATTTTTCTATTGAACCTGACAAATCTTCATCCAAAGGAAGATCTCCGAAACCAATGTCAGAGTAGTCATCTCTCCCTAACCTAGGTGACCCAAGTTCAGAAGTCTCATAAGCAGTATCGCTACCGTAATCTGATGTTATTGATGAACCAGCAACATGGAATGTGTTTGAACTGGTAGGAACGCCATTTGATAAAACTGTATTATGCCCAGCAACATTCGGTTCTGGGGAGCATTCATTTTCCTCTTGGAATGCTGAAAAGTATATGTAACATGTAAAAATCCAAGGTGATCATAAAAATAATCTCGATCATGGATATAATACATATCTTCTAATAGACATCCACTATTACTTAGATTCTATTATATATAAACTTTTCCTGAAAAATTACAGAAGATAACTACATCTTAATGAAGTAGAATTGCACATACCAGATCTCGCAGCAGCTTCTAATTCAAGAAAAGAAGCCACTGTGACACTTCTTGACAAATCAATGTCAGATAACAGCTTTGTCATCCACTCCTCCAATGAACACCTTCTCTGCAACAAAGCTAAGACTTTTGAGGACATTAGTCACCCAGATAATAAACATGACAAACAATTAATCATAGGTTCCATTCCTTTTTCTTTGTCCTTTCCCAAACAGATAAAACGTCAATTAATTGCTACTGTTGCAATTTCATAAATCAGCTGCTTCAGTTATCTATAATGCCTAAGAAAAAGGTTCCACTTTTGAAATTCAATTTTTTTTTTTTTTGTTAAAGAACGGGTAACCTGTGGATTGAAAACTTCAATAGTGCTGATTACAAACTTCAGCATTCTTCAAATTATATCAGACAAATGAAAGAAAAGACCTTTATGGGTTTGAGTTTCAAATTATTCACTGTCAAATTAAAGAGGACACTTTGACATGCTTCAATCAATACAGCCTATAACAAAGAGATGTCACAATTTGCACAAACTGTTTCTAGGACAAAGTAACGTGAAAATGACCATAAAAACCAAGTTATGGGCTACAATGATCGAAGTTAGCTATTAAGGACCAATTGTATTAGCAACTATAAGAGGAAACAAAAAGGCTAGTACTGATCGTCAGAGAAGAAAACAAAGAGAACTGAAATTGATTTATCCCACATTTTCCGGATAATAAAGATAAATCTACAGCAGTTCTATACTTCTATTAAAACCATAAAAGGAAAAAAAATGAAAAACTTATTGCCTACCTCTTCCAGCAAAACCCTGCTTTTCATACGCAACAATCCCTTGGGTGGGGCAGGGGGGACACTTTTCTTCGGAAATGCTGCTTTTAGCTGTAGACAGAACTCAGAAGTCATTATTCAATAATAATATTTTAATCAGAATGAACATCATCTGTTTCCATATTTATGCTCAAGCAGTTATGTCACAACAATCAGCTTCAGTTACCTAACATTACAATATTACTAATATGGAGTTCTTGGTGCAACTAAAGCAAATTCCAGGACTTACTTCCGTAAATAGCTTCAAAAAATCATTAAATCTTCTCAATACTACAAGTGTACTCGTAACACTCTCTGGTGATTGTAACCCAATCTGTACCCTGTAAAACTGAACCCCTAAGAATGTTAACAGAGAACTGTGACAACTACTTTATTATGACTCAAATGCTACTATATCTATATGATTGATGATTAAACCAGAATGTCAATGTGTCAGTTCAAAAATTGAAATTAACTCCATAGTATAAATTTCCACAATAGAGACTTTAAGCTCCTTTAGATGTTGAACGTCTGAATTGTAATATAAGAATATGTTAGATATATTAGAATATTAAGAATAAAGGGTGCGGCAGAAATTTGTTTTATGAAAGAGAATTCAACACATATATCATTGGCATAGATAAACTGGATTACCACTACAGGATCTGAATCTCTCGATTTGGGAAGAACAACCCAAGAAGGTATTGCAACAGAGTAACTCCATCCTGTCCGAGGATCATGTGGCCAAACAGTTTCCTTCCCATTCTGCACGTAAATTTACAATGAGTTTGTGCTAAAATCAAGATTCAGTCAAAATTCTCCACAAGGCCGAAAGTTCAGAATCAGAACATAAAAGAAGGAAAATCCTTTTCTTTTAATGCTAAACAGAAACATAAACTGGCATCAATATGCTTCAAAATTAATCTTTATTTTAAGATGATGTCTAGATTCTTGATTGAGTTCTCATCACGCTTAAAAATACTAGAAAAAATCAGCTTAAAGTGCTTAAAAATCAATACAAATTCTTAAGAGCCATATCATGTGGTCTCATTTTGGAAATGAAATTTGGGAAGCAAAATAACCTAAAACTCTATTAAATTCGTGATTGAGTTCTTGGACCATCATGCTTAAACTGAGAATTGTAGTAAAATTAAGCTGAAAATGCTTAAAAATCAATTGGAGTATTGTAAATGCTAAAAACCACAATGACAAATTGGAAGCAAAATAACCTAAAATTCTAAATTTTACTAGATTATTGTATCAAAATGCTGGTTAAAAATACAAAACATAAAACCAATAAACGCACTGTCTTTTTCCATTTAAGATTAAGGTACTATCTAAGTTCCTAAAACAAGCTAGTAATCAAGTACAATCCATCTTTGCAAAACTGATCCTCTTTATTTTATTTTTCTTCGATCCACCATAAAGTCACTGAAAGCACTAATTTCAAGAACTAAACTCTAGAATCACCAAAAAATGAGAGCTAATTCAGATTCCAAAAACTAACTTCAAACAATAAAAACAGAAGGAAATAGAGATACAATTGAAGGCAAAGCTAACCCATTTACGAGGGGGGGGACTCCAATCCATCCCGAGAGGCAGTGGCGAAGTCCCATCGTGCCTGTGATTGGGCGGACTCCGTCTCTGCATCATCTATTTTCCTTTTTCCTTTTAATTATTCTTTACGAAAGCGATACGGATCTCTCTCGATCGGAATCGAAATTGAATATTAAAATCAAATGCAAAGAGCTTTAGGGTTTAATTCATTGGATCAGAGAGAGGGGGGAATGTAGACAAAGTAAAAAACTACAAAGCGTGTCGACAGGCGTAGGGCCTTGACGTCGTAATTTCAATTACCGGAGACCCATTTCGCCCTTTTTCGGGGTGAGCTAAAATGAGCCGTGAGCGTAGCGTGTGACCTGAACCTTGGTTTCTTCTTGGTCGTCTCTGCAAGTCCTAGATGCCGAAATTTCCATTTTCTCCTATTTATTTATTTTCATACTGTTATTTTTTTCACTTTAGGACACATGGAGTAAACGAAGAAATAACGGTCTTACCTTAATTTGCTTTAATATTCACGCCAACGACGGTGCTTACTAAGATAATTGGTAAAAAAAAAACATATATGCAAATATTCTAATTAGGCTACTTTTTTATGTCTCTCGTAATTAAGAAAATTGATCATTATAATTAAAAAATTGATTTATCTTGTTAAAAAAAATTCATAGCAGTTAATATAATTGATTTAATAACGAATTTAATTTTAAAAATTTATTATAAGTTTAAACTTCATTTACCTTTAAGAAAATTAAACTACAAAACTCTTTTTCTCCAAAACTGTTAATTACATTCGACTTGTCCTCTTATATAATAATAATTGAATCAAGATTTATTGATATTTTTAAAATATATATAATATAAAATTTTTATATGATATTATTTGTCTAGTATTAATAACTTTTATAAAATTTGTTATATGTGAATATATATAAATGATGCTCCCAAATTGAAAATATTTAAGCAAAATCAACTTAACATTGACAACAATGATGGAACATTACATTAGGCAGAGGTAATTGAACCAAAATGCCTAGTTATTTAACTTGAACAAAAACTCTACACAACAATGCCTAAAATCCCTAATAAAGATGTAATAACAAGGTGTTCAAGTCAGACAAAACCCTAAGATCCAACATGAAAAACGCACCATTTTGTTATGTTTTCGTCATCCAACTATTATTATTTTCAAAATTACACCTAAAGTTATTTTTTGTTTCATTTGGGTCACTCACTATTAAAATTAATAGAACTGTTGACGTGATATTTTAAAAAAAATAATGATGACTTGATATTACCTTACGGTCACACATCAACATCATTGATAATTTTTTTAAGGTGAGTGACCAAAATAAAACAAAAATGTAACTTTAAATAAAGTTTTGAAATAAAATAATTAAGTGACTAAAATAAAACAAAAATTATAGTTGAGGAACTAAATGTTTAACTTACTCAAACAATAAAAACAGACACCCATTTTGCAAACACCAGAAAATAAACATAAAAACAACAGACAAATTATGCACATTTGAACCCTGCAGGAACCTCCTTCTGACAAGCACTGAGGATTAAGCTAAGAGTAACAGGAACATCGAGGTTGATCCCTAGTACATTAGCTTTAATGGCGGTGCAGAGGCAAAGTGCAGCTTCCAAATCAGCCAACCCTTGAAGTAAAGCACAGCACTTGCTCGAAGGAGGGGTTCCCACGATTATGTTAACGAGGCCGAGCAGATCGGCGCAGGCGCCGAGCTTCAGGGTGTCCTTGGGGCAGGAAGCCGCCGGAGGCTGAGGGCATGGGGGTGGCTTGGGTTTGCATGAGCTGCAGGCGGTGGTGAATGTTGAGTGGAGAAGAAGAGTGGAGATTATGAAAAGAGTATAGAGTTTGGTGGAAGCCATTGCAGCACACAAGTTGTTTCAACTGTGGATGAATAAGTGTAGCACCAGAAGTTGGTTTTTTAAAGGAGATTTCTGAGGTGGCTGTTTCGAGATCTGATTGAGTGGAAGAGAGTGAAGATATCGGATGATCATGATATGTTGTAGCACTAGCATTTTTGTAAGCTTCCGAGAAGCCAAGTTTTATACGGAAAGAGTGGTATAAGAATAAACTCAATTAATCATTTTCGCTATTACATGTTTTTCATTAATTTAATCCTCAAAATTATTTACGGTATTTATCCTAGCTTTCAGAGTCTTTTTTGAGTAATAAAACCATTAGTCTTCTACATTTTCAACACTAACAATTTTGAGGTAAACTTGGGACCATGTGTCTTTTAATTATATTCCCTTAATATCGCTTAAAATTATAGTCACTTAATTATTTTATTTCATTTTAGTCACTTAATTATATTCCTAAAAAGTTATGATTATATATAACCATGCTATAATCTCGTATCAATAAACTTGGGACCATGTGTCTTTTAATTATATTTGTTAATGTAAACTTTTATATTAAATCTCAACTGTGCACCAGTGAGTGACCACTGATATTGGACATCTCTGGCTTCACAAATCTTTTTTATTAATGTATTTTTTTTACATCTTTTTAATTTTGATTTTGAGATGTTTCTTTTTGATGCTATATTTATTGTATTCGAATATTTAATTGATATATTACACATTTTTTTTCTATTTAGATAATTATTGTTTTCAGAAAAAAAAATTATAATAGATCTCATTCAAATATTTCTTGTTAATTGTACTATATATCGCTGAAGATCAATTAAACTCGAATTACGTAAATGAACATAACATATTATTATTTTATATTTTCTAATAATAATATATTTCATCTTTTAAAGTTTATATTTTTTTCTCAATTAATTATCTATTTTATGATTGTGCTCATCTTAAAGTTTAATTTGTGACTATCTTAGATAAAAATTTTATGTTATTAATGCATGTGTGCCCACTCTCAAAAAAACTTTTTTTTTAAATCCATTACAATTAAACATAAATCCACTCGTTTTAATATAAAATCATCCCTCCATATCAGTATAACAGTATTACGAAATAATTATCCTTGTATTGTAGGTTTTACTCTTTCTTCACCTTCATCTCATTGTCTTTACGCCAAATGGAGGAAGCGTCGATGGAAAAAAAAATAAAACGCAATCTTCTCTTATCGATAAAGATCAGTAAACGGCTTGGATTGCTGTGAAATTGTGTTGGTTATTTTGACAAGTTAGTTCATCCGTAGCCATATTTTTTTAAAGTAATATTAAGATATATTCATTTGTCGAAAGTCACGTCAACAACGTCTTGTTAAATATAAACCGAACAAAAATGATCGTGACTATCATAAGTAAAATATAATAATGATCGACTAGTGTAGACTGATAAGCAAAAGCATGAACAATTGAAGTAACGACATACATAAACAGATCACACCAACGGTCCCGATCAGCAAATATGAAGGAGAAAAACTTGAAGAATAGCCAAAATGGACAACGGAAAAAGTGATCTCCCTTAACGACAATCTCATCAGGCACAAATATGCAATAACCAACGAATCGTCTTGTACAAACGTGTAGACACCCGTTTTTATCCGAGTCATTATTAATATTATTACTATTATCATTATTATTATTAATATTAATTAGTTTTATTACATATTTTGCAGCCCAATTACAAGACCAATCCCGGAGCCCAATGCATAACCCAACAGATGCAAATCCCAAAAGTACGTCCCGTTTACAAGTGACCATACATGATCCGAACCGGTTCAACCCTACCTGACCCGGTTAAGATTTCAACCACTGCAATAACCCACGTGAAGCCAGCTACTCCTGTCAGCCTCATGCTTTCACGTGATTACCGGTTCCAAATCCACTCTCCAGCAGCAAAGGAAGAGTAACAAAAGGAGAAATGAAAAAGTCATGGAGTAGGACCCTTTTTCATAAGCTGTAAAAATAAATATAAACAAGGGGCTACCATTTTCTCTAGGAAAAAAGCAATCATCCACCAAATCAAGCCAAAGTCAAAATAAATATAACCAAACCCTTACCTAAACCCGTCATTAATATACCAAACACAAAGAAAATTAACATGCAAAAGTGGGATTAGGTGATGTGCGAAGAAATAAATCAGAGGGGATGATTCGGTTTTAAAGGAGGAGGAATCAAATACAAAGGAAGGGGGAGAGAGTAAAAAAGAAAAGAAAAGAAAGACTTCCCTTTCTCTCGGCCGAACAACAACCACGACGTCCACCGAATTAGGATCTTCAACTCTCGAAGGTGCACTTATTGCTACTGGAGTGCTCATTGCTGGCCTGGAAATCAAGTGAAACTCCGTGAATTATCCAGTTTCTTGGTTGCACTGTTTTTATATTATCATGCATATTTTTTAACTATATATGTTGAACGAAAGCATCATACCAAGAAAAACAAATGCTCTGACATTTGAATGTAATTTGTATGTGCTCTGTGCTCGACTTATTCTAAGAAATTTAGTGTCTTTTATTATGTTTCAGTACGAAATTTGAGTACATCTTTATATGTATTGTTACAATATGTTTTTGTTCAAGGAAAACACTCTTGATGATTCATATAAATGAATGTATTAAGATAAAAAATAATATAAATAAGTTAGGGATTTTAGAGTTACCTGGTTGTCGGTGTTCGTCGGGACAACAGTGTCGTCGGAGAGGGTAGAGTAATTGGTGGTGACTTGTGATCGAAAGACCACCCTGTATGGTGGTCGGTCCTCAGGTTGGTTCTCGCTTGAGAGACATGGCATGGGTTGTGATGTTGTCCTCGTGTGTTCCTTAAGCTTTATAGGCCACTGATTGGAGGAGAATAACCATCCATATAGGGTGGTCGAGGCGCTGTTGACTCCGGCCAGTCGGAGGGTCGGCTACCGCGGGGTGGTGAGCGAAGAAAAAAGGGCGAGTTAGATGGATGTTAGGGATTTGAAGCAATCGGGCTGAATGAAACAAAAAAAAGAAGAAGCATATATTATATTTAGGAATTTTGGGAAAACCACGCTAAGTTCCTTGAACCTTTAGCGTGTTTTATGTTTCAGTCACCAAATAGTGGGTTTATTACATATAGATCCCCTAAATTTAAGTTTCCTATTATATCCTGATCACTAAATTAAGGTATAATCACGTTTCAACCCTCATATCTCTAGCACTTTTTGCATATTAATCATCGGTTGTAGGGGAAAACTCTCTTTAGGTACTCCTATCTTTGCCGTAATTTTACATTTAAGTCCCTAAATTTATCTTTTATTTATTTTTGCTGATTTAAGTTGTATGTTTTGTTTCCTGTTATTTTGGTCACTTGTTGTATGTTATTTATTTATTTCGAATTATTCTGTTAATTTTTATTAGTTTTATTTAGGTCACTGTTAAAGTTATATTTTACTTGTTATCTTTATGTTATTATGTATTTCACATTTGGCATATAATTTGTAAGGTGTATATTTTAGTCAATAGTAAAAATCACCTTCGTTTTTTATTTTGTCATTTAAGCCCATTTTTTGTTGTATGATGTTTTGTTTTAGCTCTTATGTCCTTGGATATAAAATAAATATAGTGCTTTAGTTTGTTATTTATGTTTTAGCCCCTTTATTTTTATTTTACTTTAATAGGGCATGTTATACTTAGTTTCATTTTAATCATTAATGTATTTTAATCCTTTGTATTAGTTAGATGCAATTTCTTTTCACTTTGCCATATATATGTTTATATTTGTTTAGTGATATTTGTATGTAAATCATATATTGTTATGAAAATAAATTTATTTACTAAGTACCCTTAATGCTTGTATACGCGTGTATATTACTGTATTTAATCTTAGTCCATTTATTAATTTATTTGTTATTTTCAATATATAAGATATCCACTAGTTAGTATTTTCTTCAAATATTTTCAAGAACAACGATTTGTAGAATGGGTGTGGAAAGCATCGCTTGATCGAAGTGGTGTAATCCTATACGACATTTAAACAAATGTGAACTTGAAATAAAATTGATTTTATATTACTAATTAATTCTTTTTGTTTTAAGTCGAACATTGCAATAAATGTCTCTAAATAATAATTTATTTTATTTCATGCAAATGTTGATTATCAATTTATATTCGATTCACATTTTTAATCGAGGAGGAATATTTTTTTACGAATGAGAAATAGTTGAAATAGTTTTCCCGACGGAGGATTGCGAATTTTAAGATTTCTTATCGTGTAAAAGAATTTTCTGTAATTAATTAATTCGAGACAAATTAATTAAATCTCAATAAATGGATCATAATTTAACTTTATATTAGGTTCATCATTTCCATTATTTACGACAACGTGTAAGCGACACAGTACCAATTTTAGGCGTTGTGGGGTGCTAATCCTTCCCCACATGTAACCGACTCCCGAATCCATTTAATCGAATATTTGGTGACGCATACCAAACTTTTCTTATAAAATGATTTTCTTAAAATTGTTTTAAAAGACTTTTTAGGTACTCGATCTACCTAACCTAAAGGTCGATGGCGACTTTATCCATTTTCATACAAATTATTCAAAATCACCCAATTTTTTCAAATTAAAATCATAACTGTTTTTAAAATAATGAGATATTGTTTCACCCTAAAAAATGGTTATGACAGATTGGTGACTCTGTTGGGGACGGCTTTTTTTAGAGAGTTAGACTGTAGGTCAATTACACATTGTCGTTGTGGTCAAATTTATGAGTTCGAGTCTTTAGTTAATCTATGGTCCTTTATTGAAATTTTGAATTGCTTTATTTTTTATTGTCATACTAACATTTTAATTTTTGCTTTCAGCTAAGTTTTTGTTGAGAGTTTTTATTTGTTCATCTTTTGCGTTAAATGTAGGTACGCTCCTCCTCACACACATCACGTGCATCTGCATAACATGAGTTCTAGACACGAGCTTCGATCTAAATTAGTCAGGGTGATTACTTTACTCTCGTAAGAATTTATTCTTTGTATGAGTTTTAGCAATTAACCCATGGGATACATACCTTATACCTTCGTAGGGATTTATTCCTCGTATGGGTATAATCCAGTGAATCCCCACGAATT